ACATACATACATACACACACATGTACTGTCCCCTCTCGCTTTGCCAAGACTGCGAGGCAACTATGGCCAACCTAAACACGCGTAAAGATGTGTATTATATACATGTATTTATGTATGTATGTATGTATGTATGTATGTATGTATGTATGTAACTTATTTTACTTAAATTATTTGTTCATGTAGTAAGATAGTTGCATGGCTGTACTAGGGGGCCCTGCGGAATAGTGCTACTCAGTTATTCAGAGGCCTTTGTTACACTCTCATCCCTTCTCTCACTTGGGTCGGAGGGATTAACGGCACAACGGTGAACACCATACCATCTCTGGACAAACCTCAACGGAACATCCCCACGGGCACTGCACTTTAGAAGCATAGCGGCAGACCCGGCTGAGCAAATCCAGAATACCATCTCACTAAAACACTGCGCCCGCAAAAAATCTTCGGTAGTGAGTCATACAGTATGACTCATAGAGCAGAAGGCGAGCTGCAAAGACTTGGGGTTGGATCCCTTGATCTCATGAGGTTTTCGGGATTTTGAGCTTGTGTTTGGCTGTGGATGGGGGTTTAGGTGTCCTCGGGGTTGGGGTCGGCATATTTAGTCGAAAAGTTGGCGAAGCATGCATGCTTGAAACAAGGATTCGGAGGGCTTACGGGCTCCTGCTTCAAAAGGACTTCGTCTGCGGGTTTGGGTATTTGCGGCGCTTGCGATGTTATGGCGTATGCAGGTGGGACAGCAAAAAAGGTCTTCTTCCGAGTTCCGCAGCAGGAACCGGAATCCCACACCGAGGCGCAAAGGAGGGCTGCCTCGACCCCTGCGATTTGCAAAGCAGAAGCGGAGGTGGATGGAGCCTCAAGAGGCTTGTGCAGGCTATGAAGCCGATCCAAGCAAGGCTATGCGACGGACAGCTTGTTTCCACACCCGTGTTGACAATGCCATAGTTTGCGCTGCACTACACGCAAGTTGTTGGAGTTCGGCCTTGTTTCACTACCTTCTCAAAGCTACATACTCTGATTGGGAAACAAACTTGTGGCCTAACTATCAACCCAGGACGCAATCTCCGGCCTGAGTGCGCATGCTTACGACCGAGAGTTTGCACAGAACGATTGACATCTGAACCCAAGTTGAACTTTAAGGCCAAACGAGCAAGGAACCAATATGTGAACGGTTCGCTGTAGTTTGAGACTGTGGCTCGGTACACTTCCCGTCACATCCGAGATGATTCTCAGTTATCCCCGTCGTCGTCTCACTGTTAGGCTTCTAGACACTTGTTCAGAATCTCGGCGTTGGGCTACGCAAGTTCGTCGGAGCCTCCAGTTTCCTTGGGGGACGCAGCAGGCCCAAAACCCACAGTCCTAACCCCAAGTCAGTCAAGCATCCCCATGAGATCCCCACCCAGAAGGCCAAATTTGAACAAAACCCATCGGAATGCGGAAACGAAGTATGGATAGGCACTATATGACTGCAATCAGTGCGGCGATGCCCTGACTGCCTATCCATCTTGACCAAGGGGCTCCCGAAAGAACCAGGAGCTTTCCATCGTCTGCAGCTGCTGAAGCATTGAGGCAGCTGCCCTGATCTTTTCTGGTGCTGCTGTGGGGGGTGGCCGGGGCTCGAAGGCGGAGGGGGGGCAGGGGGGCGGCGGTGTCGAGTAATTTCATGAATGTGTAGAGAAGAGCACCACGGGCTGCACTATCGTAGCTGGACAAGACAACTCGGAGGAAAATCAAAAGAACCCGACCATTCATAAGCATGTGGCACCCCGGACAGCCTCAAAAGCCTCTTCGGTCAAGACTGCAACACGAGTCACCTTGGTGGCGCTGAATGTTCGAATCCAATCGGAAAGCTGCGATAGCAAATCAACGGCAACATAATCAACAAATACACGCACACACGCGTGTGCGCCCATGTGCATGTATGCGTTTGTGTATGTGAATATAATTCTATATGTATTTTTATGTATGTATAGTTACATGCATGCATGCAGACAGACAGACATATGGACCTCGGCCGATACATTGATACAAACAAAACACAGATCGATACATATTGTTGAATATAATACAACCATAAGTATACACACATACGTATATATATATATATATATATACGTATATATATATATATACATATATATATATATACATACATTCATGTAAAATGAGTACATATGTATAAATGTAAATACAATATGTATGCATGGATGCACGCATGGATGGACTTGTACCTGTGTATTCCGGATCCGGGCTGTTTCGGGTTTGGGGGGTCCGGGAGCGTGATGACGAGAAAATTGGTACGCGCGCATGTAAATGCATACGTGCACGGCATTTTGTGTTAACGGTATACATATATATATATATATGTCTAAAAAAACATGCATGCATGTATGTACGTGTATACTGTATACATGTTTGAATTCATGTACTTGCGTTTATTCAAATCATACGGTGGATGTGTGTTGATATGTATATATATATATATACACACACTCATATACATTATACATATATATATACACACCGTTCAAAACAATAACCATCAACGTAACAACCGCAACAACAAAACAGCAGCAGCCGCAGCAACAGCAGCAACACCAGCACCAGCACCAGCACCAGCACCAGCACCAGCACCAGCACCAGCACCAGCACCAGCACCAGAACCAGCACCAGCACCAGAACCACCACTAACAACAACAATTATCAAAAACCAACAACCAACAACCAACAGCCAACAACAAGAACAAGAACAATAACAAGAACAATGACAATAACAACAACAGCAACAACAACAACAACCACAACCAACACCAGCACCAACACCAATTCCAACACCAACAACAACACCACCACCACCACCAACAACAACAACCACAACCGCAACCACAACCACAACAACAACCACAACCACAACCACAACCACAATCAACAACCAACAACCAACAACCACAA